CCCCCACAACAAAAGCTACAGTCAGTAGCTAGCGCGAACCAAGCTGAACCCCAAAGCACCTGATGCAACTCCCCAATGTGTCCGCGCCTCGATTGCCAGGTTCGCAGCGCGCCGCAATACTCCTGGTGGTGCCCGAAGGCCGACTTTGCCGGAGACAGGTTTCGGGTTGATGGTTTGGGGTTAGAGTTTCAGGATTTGTGTCTACCCTTTATCCCCTAGATCATCCTTGTAGAGCCAGTTTTTTTATAGGGCCCCCAAACCTACCCCGGTAAACCCCAAACCCTAACCACCGGAACTCCCGAAGGCGAACATCTTGCCGCGCGGAGACGGAGGGTGAGTTTGTTGCGGGCACCTTGCCAGCGCGTGGCTCCGGAGTTTAGGGTTCTAGGGCTTTAGGGTTCTAGGTTTTTAGGGTTTCAGGGTTTCAGGGTTTTTGGGATTTATGGTGTAGGGTGTGATTTTAGGGTGTAAGGGCTTTAGGGCTTTAGGGTTTTAGGGTTACGGTTTAGGGTTTAGGGTCAGGGACTGGGCTTCAGGGGTGCTGGGTTTAGGGGCTTAGGGCTTTTGAGTTTGGGGTTCAGGCGTTTTAAAGGTTCGGGGAAGTTTAGGGGTATGGATCCGGAAGTTGAGGTAGCTGTAAGTTGTCAGGCTTATTTGTTGGGGTGAAGGTGTTTCTGGAGGACCCTACAATTCCCGAAGCCTCCACCAAAATCTTGCCATTGCTTCTGTCAGACTCTTGGAAAGATGGCATGCCCAAGCACTGAATCTGGCCAGTCGGAAGTAGGGTTTAGGGTTTAGGGTTTAGGGTTTAGGGTTTAGGGTTTCGGGTTTAGGGTTTAGGGTTTAGGGTTTAGGCGTTGGTTGAGAGTGTAGGGTTTGGGGTTTCAGGTTTCCGTAGGGGTTAGGGTTTTATCTGTAGACTTGAGATCAAGGTACCTCCATCTACGATGATGATGGCGATTGGCTTCCAGCGGGCATGGGCACGCTAGATGTCGACTCCTCAACATTGGTAGAGCTGGGAGTCTTGGAACTTAGCGTTGAGGGTGGTGAATGAAGGTGTTCCAGCATGGAACTCTTAATCTTTTGGGTAGGTAAACCCTAAACCCTAAACCCTAAAGCCACGTTCGAAAGTTGCAAGGGGCACAAGGCTTCCATGAAATCTCGGCAAGTTCCAGACCCACGGAGCCAGGGTAGGCCCCTATTCCCTGTTTGTCGGGGGCTTTAGACTCACTTCTAAAACCCTTAAAATCCCTAAAAAACGGTGTACCCTGTTTCAACTTTGGTTACTCTTGGGTCTAGAAAGCCTTAGTCTATGGGCAGTTATATTGGCCCCTGGGTTGTAAAGGGTATAAAAGGGGTAACTACCCTTAGTTAGACTTCGGCCCCAGCTTCAAGAATCTGTGGCGATATCTTCTCAACACCTCCTCTTGCACTGAAACCCGGAACCCAGAAAGTCCTAGCTTGACCCTAAACCCGAAACCCCAAACCTTGAACCTGAGGCGTTCAGCCCAGGTCCGAATCTTCCCAGCAGCCCAGAGCCCTCATCTCCTGAAAGCCCTCTGCCGAGATGTTGCCGAAGATGCAAGAGACCGAGGAGGGGGTTTATGATGATCAGACTCTTGGGGTTTAGGGTTTAGGGTTTAGGGTTTAGGGTTTAGGGTTTAGGGTTTAGGGTTTAGGCATGAGGTTTCGGGTTTAGGGCCTGGGGTTTCGGGCTTTCGGGTTCTTAACTGGCAGGTTGGCTAAGAAAGGTAGGTTTGAGGTGGGAGTCTTGAAAAACATCTTAATCCAGCCCTGCAGTCCTGCAAGCCCTCCTAAACTAGCTCTCCTAGAGTAACCCCTGGTAAGGCTGTTGAGTTCGTAGGACGCAATCACGCTTGGGGCGATCGAGACCCTCAAGATCTTTCTTCAAAATCCAGAGTCTAATTTCTTTCTTCATCAGCTTTCTGAACACACAGCTCCACCGTACCACTGAAGTTGCTGCTTTTCAGCTTGTAAACCCTAAACCCTAAACCCTAAACCCTAAACCCTAAACCCTAAACCCTAAACCCTAAACCCCCCAGATTGTGGGACAGGAGGACCAGAAGCGAAAGGAGCCTGCAGAACCAGCCATGGTGCTGGAGGCGTTGGGGCGCCGGGCTAAACCCCAAACCCTAAACCATAAACCCTAAACCCTAAACAAACCCTAAAACCTAAACCCCAAACCCGAACCCTAAACCCTAGACCCTAAAGCTCCCAGCCCCCAAAAAACCCAAGTTGAAGGTTCTTTTAGCTTAGGGATGCACTATGGACCGTACAATTGTTTCTCTTTCTTTTCCGGAGTCGGCGTATAGGGTTTAGGGTTTAGGGTTTAGCGTTAGGGTTTCGGGTTTAGGGTTTAGAGTTTAGGGTTTAGGGTTTAGGGTTTAGAGTTTAGGGTTTAGGGTTTAAGGGTCAGGGTTTAGGGTTAGGGGTTCAAGGTTTTCAGATTTCACACGGAACCCTGGCAGATGAGTCGGCCTCCCAGCAACAGAAGAACCGAGATCCCGTCCAAAGTCCCGAACCCTATGAATCCCTCAAATCCGGGTTTAGGGTTTTGGGTTTTGGGTTTAGGGTTTAGGGTTTCGTCTTCAGGTGCTTTCCAAAATGGTCTAGGGTTCGGGTTTAGGGTTTACGCCCTTGGGACATTTCATATTTCCCTTATTGGGTTTACGAGGATCATCTTCAGGGGTTTTTTCTCAGAGGGTTTTAAAGGCCATCCCAATTAGCGAGCCGTAAGCTCACATTTTCTCAACCCCAAACCATAAATTATGCTTCAATGTTTAGGGCTTAGGGAATGAGGCTTTGTATGCTGTGAGTTGTTTAGGGACACGTGGGTGGGGCTTCAGGGTTCTTTCGGGGCCGGATTGGAGTTTTGGCTGCTGAAGTGTAAGGTAAAGTAAAACCCTTCTGCCACTAAACCCTAAACTCTAAACCCTAAACTCTAAACCCTGAACCCCCAGGGCCGACTTGGCTCGGTTTGCAGGTTCGTGGCGACTTGCTCGTGGTGAGGGCCGGGAAGAAGCTCTTCACGCAGGACGGAGCCCGCGCGCGCTGCCTGCTTCTACAGCAACATGGGCTTAGGTATCTAGGGACCCTAAACCCTAAACCCTGAACCCTAAACCCTAAACCCTAATCCCTAAACCGTTTGGCCGAACCCTGGAAGTCGAGCGACCTGAGCTGGTACGTGTTCACGGCTCAGTCTTGGGGGGCGGTGCCCGGACATCCATGACAGGAGATATTTACCCTAAACCCTTAACCCTCAACCCTAAACCTTATAAACCCTAAACCCTAAACCCTAAACCCTAAACCCTAAACCCTAAACCCTAAACCCTAAACCCTAAACCCTAAACCCTAAACCCTAAACCCTAAACCCTAAACCCTAAACCCTAAACCCTAGCCCTAAACCCTAAACCCTAAACCCTAAACCCCAGCCCTAAACCCTAAACCCTAAACCCTAAATACGGCTCTTTAGCCGTGGCGGGGTCTCCCTGTCGAGGGGCAAGTCCGTAAGCGTGAGCCGCTGACACCTTTGGTTGCAAGGCCTAGAACCATAGACCCTTGTTTAGGGTTTAGGGCTTAGGGTTTAGGGTTTAGGGTTTAGGGCTAGGATTTAGGGTTTAGGGTTTAGGGCTTAAACCCCAAAAATTCAAAAACCTAAGCAACTTGAATCCCGGGTGCCAGGACCAGCCAGGGCAAATCGCGTGCACTGACAGACATGATCTTAGCACTCGCAAGCTTGCCACTCACTGGTTTTGCAGTTTGGGGTTTGAGGGTTGGAGGGGTTTAGGGTTCAAGGGTTAGGATTTAGGGATAGGGTTCAGAGTCCAGGGTTATAGGGCTTCTTGGGTACTGGGCTTATAGGGCTTATAGGATTTATAGGGCTTATAGGGCTTATAGGGCTTATAGGGCTTATAGGATTTAAGGTTTAGCAGGGCCTTCAGGGAAAGAGTCGCCCCTCAGGCATGGAGCCAAAACTTGCAGCAAGCTGGAGCCCAGCCTAGGGCCTAGGGCCTAGGGTTTTAGGGTTTAGGGTTTAGGGTTTAGGGTCTAGGGTGTAGGGTTTAGGGTTTTTAGGGTTTTGAGGGTTTTTTGGGTTTTTAGGGTGTTTAGGGTTTTTAGGGTTTTTAGGGTTTTTAGGGTTTTTAGGGTTTTTAGTGTTTTTAGGGTTTTAAGGGTTTTTAGGGTTTTTAGGGTGTTTAGGGTTTTTAGGGTTTTTAGGGTTTAGGGTTTGGGGTGGCGAATCAAGTCCATCAACGTAACCTTGTCAATTTAGGGTTTGTAGGGTTCCGGGTTTAGGGTTTAGGGTTCCGGGTTTAGGATTTCGGGTTCCGAGTTTCGGGTTTAGGGTTCCGGGTTTAGGATTTAGGGTTCCGGGTTTGGGGTTGCGTTCTCGTGGTGTCCTCCCTTCCCCCCCCCCGCCCAACCCCTTAACCCTCCAGCCCAAACACTACCACGGGGGGGGAGATGGGAGGCCCGAAACCCTAAACCCTAGGCCCCAAACGTTTGCCTAAACCATATACCCTAAACCCTAAACCCTAAACCCTAAACCATAGTCAAACCCAAAGCCCGCGCGTCCGAACACCCTGAAGCAAAGTCGCGCTGCAGACCCCCGGGCTCAAGGGGTTTTGGGTTTATAGGAATCTAGCATCTAGGGGGTTTCGGGCTAAGGTTTAGGGTTTAGGGCTTAGGGTTTAGGGTTTAGGGTTTAGGGGTTGAGGAGTTTAGGGGTTCAAGGGTGTAAGGGGTCTAGGGGCTTTGGATTTTTAGGCTTTTAGTTTTCGGGTGTCGGGTGCGGGGTCCCTAAACCCAAAACCCTAAAACCTGTTGGATAAGGGGGGTTTGGGACCCTTTTCGAAGATGCAAGGGAATATAAGGGCCACACTAGGAGATCAAAGGGGAACCTTTAGGGGTTTAGGGTTTAGGGTTTAGGGTTTAGGGTTTCTTAATCCCTCGAAAACAGCAGGTTCTCCTCTCCCGCCATGGAGCGGCGGCGAGATCGGTCGTCCGAGCATGCGAAGGAAGAGCCGGCGCTTGAAATCGAAGGGCAGCTGGAGGTGGTGTGCCTTGGGCTGCTTTGGTTTTGGTTTGGGGCTTTTGGGGTACCCTAAACCCTAAACCCGAAACCCTAAACCCTAAACCCTAAACCCTAAACCCTAAACCCTAAACCCTAAACCCTAAACCCTAAATTGATGGACCACATGAACCCGGCAAGGGTTTATGGTTACTTAGTAGGGCTTGTCGTAGTGCAGGATGTATGACCCAAAATTTGCGGTAGAAACCCTCAACCCTCAACCGTAAACCCTAAACCCTAAACCCTAAACCCTAAACCCTAAACTTTAAACCCTAGACCCCAAAGCCAAGGAATGGGATCAGCGGAGAGGCTTCGGGCGTGGTCGTCGAAGCACCAATCACGCCGACAGAGCTTGGCCACGCGATCCAGGCAGCGCTGGGCTTCCTGGCTTTAGGGTTTTGAGGGTTAGGGTTTAGGGTTTAGGGTTTAGGGTTTAGGGTTTAGGGTTTAGGGTTTAGGGTTTAGGGTTTAGGGTTTAGGGTTTAGGGTTTAGGGTTTAGGGTTTAGGGTTTAGGGTGTATAAGGATTTCGTTGTTTTTTCGGGGTTTGCAGTTTTGGAGTTTTGGGTTTTCGTGGCTTAGGGGTTTAGAGCTTAGGCTTTGGGAGATTGGTGGACCTCGGTCCTTCGGTTCACCTTCTGTAAGAGATCCCAATTAGTCATCTTTTTTCCGAAGCCCTAAGCCCTAAACCCTAAACCCCAAACCCTAAACCCTAACCCTAAACCCTAAACCCACAGGTTTGTGCCGCAACCTAGGATTCCATCCCAGCACGCAGTCCCTCTTCATCAATGTGACTGGGACCATCAGATGGGGATGCGGGTTTAGGGTTTAGGGTTTAGGGTTTAGGGTTCAGGGTTTAGGGTTTAGGGTTTAGGGTTTAGCGGATATTCAAGTACCCATCATTCCCTTTTCTCAGGAACTGGGACCTCTTATTTGACCCTAAACCCTTTCAACCCTAGACCAATACCACGATACTCGTTTTTTTAAGGATAGTGGGCAACCAAGGATGGACAGCAGCCTTACAACGCGAGCGCGGGACGACTGCCAAAAGGTCCCGTCCACTCGCTTCGCATCATACGGCAGAGCAGGGATTTCGAGGCCAAGCACGAGTTTCTGGAGCCTTAGCCATCTTGGTAGCCCAGTGGTACCTTTTGCCCCTTTGTTGGGGTTCCCGGGTCCCTTATAAAATAGCCAACCCAAAAGGGTTCCTGGAGCCTTAGCCATTAGCCTCACCATCGTTGAGGTATTGGGGTTTGAGGGTTGCTTTCGCCTTACTTATGCCTCCGCTGTCCGCTGTCTTTGCAAGGTCCCTAAACCCTAAACCCTAAACCCTAAACCGTAAACCCTAAACCCTGAACAAGCCCCTGAAAGCCTGAAAAGCCCTAGCAACGGTCTTGGATTTGAGGAGCAGCTCTCGGGGGAACTTGCGCGCAAAGATGAGAAGGGCGGAGCCCTGGGTCAGCTGTACCACGTGGAGAAGCTCACCCGTGGGCTAGGCCCGGATCGGCTTGAGGGATTGAACTCTTTCCACGATTCTTCCCACTCTCTCTCTCTCTCTCTCCATTTTTTGTAGATATGATATGTATATATATATATATATATCTATCTATCTATCCCTAAACCCTAAACCCGTCCCAGGAGCATCAGCCGTAGTGTTGGTGCCCGGAAAGCCCAACTCTTCGACACCCAAACCCACCCCAAAACCCCAAATGCTCCTGAACCCTAACCCTAAACCCTAAACCCTAAACCCTAAATGTGGATTTTCTGTCCCGAAAACCTCCCCTGCACAAGCCCTGAAGCAAGGAGCTCTCGCCGTCGCTGTTGTGGCTTGGGCAGGGTGGGACAAGCTTAAGCTTTAGCTAGGCCAACCGGCTACGCAGATCCCGAGCAAGGAACGCTCGCTGACAAAAAGCTCTCTTACGTGTGCGGACCTCGTGCGCCGCCTTGCCCCATTTTCGCTGTGTGCCCTTTTCTCCGTCTCTGTTGCGCCCAGCTTGGCCGTAAGTTAAAGTTGGCAGCGGAGCCGGTCGCCCCGGCTTCCGCCTTTTCCGGACCCAGGCCCCTTGGTGTTGGCCCCTGCTGCCACTGCGCTCGCTCCTGACCTTCGCCCCTTTCGGCTCTGTCCTCTGCCTGCCATTGTGCAAGTTTGTGTGTGTGTGTGTGTGCGTGTGTGCACACGGCTGCTGCCTTATCTCTGCCTCACCACTGTGGACTTGAGGCTGCTTCCCTTGCCAGCCAACCGGCGCCGTGCCACCGTGGGCACGCGTCTGCAGTGTTCTCCGGCCGTCGTCCTTGTCCTTCTGTTAGCCTTCCGACGCCATGGCTTCTCCCTCCGCGCCCTCTGCTGGCCCGTCAGGTACTTCTGCTGAGTTTGTTCGTGACAACTACATACCTGTCTTTGACAACAAGCCCTCGAGCTACCGTGAGTACAGACAGCGTTTGATGTTGTACTTCAAGAAGATGAAGCTGTTGAAGCGCACGTCTGAGGCTACAATAAACCTGCATGCTGACCTCGCTCACCGGTACAGCGTGGGCCAGGGTTGAGCATCTTTCGGAGACGGCCCCCGACAAAGAAAATGGTTTTGATTTGGTGTTGGCAGAACTGGACAAAGCCTTCCGCTACGACAATCGGGTTGAAATGCCCCGTGCTATAGACAAGTACTTCTATGCTCTGCAGCGCCGCCCAGACCAGACGCTCTTGCAGTACACTGGAGAGGCTAGGGATGCCGTTCGTGAGCTTGAGAAACACGGCATTGCCTTGCCCAGCGAAGTGCACGGCTATATCTTGCTTAAGAAATCGGGCTTGTCGCCCGAGCAGAAACAGCTGATCCTGAGCCAGGTCGGTGCCAAGCTGACCCCTGACAAGATCGAGGAGTCGATGTTTTTCCTTTTGGGCCAGGACCACAAAGCTGCAGCTCGACAGCCGCCTACCCGCACCTGGCACCGTGGTGGTGCAAAGTCTGCCTCATCCGGCACATGGCGCCGATCTTATGGATCGGCCCATCTGGCGGATGATGGGCAGACCTGGTCCGACTGGGACGGCGACGATGACACCGCCTTCATGGCCGAGGACCCTGAGGTCTATGAGGAGGACGCTCAGTGGCAGGACGACGGCTACCTGGACGCTCTTGAGCCTGAGGAGACCGAGTACGCTTACTATGAGGACATCGCCCAGGATGACGACGAGGCCTATGAAGAGGCCTATGCTTCGTACATAGACGCTCGCCGCCGTCTCGCGGATGTCAAGGCCTCCCGAGGCTTCTTTCCCGTGGTCGCTCTTGCTCCTTCTGCCGACTCCTCTCCCTCTTCTCTTCAGATCCCTGTAGGCCCCAGTAGCCGCCCTAAGGGTTTCGGGAAACTCTGGCAAAGCCGCCGCCCGTGCAAAGGCCACCACTTGCCTTCGTTGCGGTCAGCCTGGCCATTGGGCGTCGCAGTGCCCCATGCCACCTAGCTCCAGCCCCTCCGTTGCTTCAAGTCCTTCAAAGCGCCCTCGGGACACTGTGCACGTTGCCGCCGACTTGCCCTGTGCCTTGGACTTGGCCCATGCTGTTGATGCTGCCTTGGTTGTCACTGAGGACGGCAGCCTTGTTGCGCAGCAAGACGGCGGAGCCTCCGCCATGTTGGGTGGCCACCGCCCCGTTATGCAAGCCATAAGCCACCTGCTTTCAAAAGGCGTGTCGCCAGCCAACCTTGCCTTCTCCCGTGCAAACCGTTGCTGCAGGTTTGGTGGTGACAACACAGCCCTTGCTACCTGGTCCGTGCACTTGCCTGTGTTTGTGCGTGGAGTGCCCGGACGACTTCAAGTCTTCATCGTTGAGGGCGACACGCCTCTGCTCGTTGGCCGGCCTATCCTTAAAGCGTTGCAAGTCAGAACCGACTTTGAACTTGACCTTTGCAGTGTGTTGGGCGGTGAACCGACCGCCGCTTTGCTTGGCCCTGGTGGTGAGTTCATGTTGCAGCTTGACGAAGGCCTTGACTCCGACTCAGTTCTTCAGCCGTTGGCCGTTGACCTTGTGACCGAGGAGTTGGCGACCCTGGCATCCCCGTGTGACCCGCGCTTGCCGCTCCTCACTCTTGCCGACTACCTTGCTGATACGGGCCGTGAGGGCCCTGACGTGGACCTTGCCTTCTCCACCGCCTCGGCGCCCGATGCCGACAGTGCCCCTGCCTTGGACTCTCCTTCTGCCGAAACAAGTGTCGACCCTAGCGTTCATGCTCCTGTCCTTTCGCCCGTAACGCCTAAGCTTCTTAAGTCTTTGGAGGTGTCCGCTCGCCAGCCAGTCAATGCCACCAATAAGGCCTTGGAGGAAGCCCTGTGGTCCTCACCTGCCACACCGCCTGTGTTTTGGGAAGTTTATTCTGGCACTGGTAACTTGTCTGCTGAGATGACCCGGCGTGGTTTTGATGTTCGCACGTTTGACCTTCCTGAGTGGGACTTTACAAAGCCTTCCGAGCGCCGCCGCTTCTTGAACTTGTTGCACCATGAGCGACCGCATGTTGTGTGGTTGGCGCCTCCGTGTCCCTTGTTGTGGTCCCCGCTCCAGAACTTGACTTCCAGTGACAGCTACCAGCAAGAAATCTTGGAGCTAGACCGCCAGCTCCACCACGCAAGCCACCTCAAGCTGTCTCGTCGTGTATTCGACTTCCAGCTGTCCACAGGTCATGTCGCAGTGATTGAGTGTCCTAAGACAAGTCTTGCTTGGAGGACGCCAGCCTTCCGTGGAATTTCTGGCTGGGCTGCCACCCTTGACCTGTGTGCTGTTGGTGCTCGACTTCAACCAGCACGGCCGACTCACCCCAATTAAGAAAGCAACCAGGCTCCAGGTTACTCATCCCGAGTTGTGTGAAATGCTGAGCATCAGGTGCCCCGGCCATTCATTTCACTTGCCTTTGGTTGGCCAATCCCCTCGCATTGGCTCGCGCTCGGCCGCGGCTGCTGCCTACCAGCCAACAATGTGTCGCAAGCTTGCCGGTGCTTTGCAGACTGCTGTTGATGTTGCACTGGCGCGCCCTGTCTTTGAGAAAGCCTTTGCCGGAGGGTCTGCCTCGGCCTCCTCCGACATCCCTGCCGTGGACTCTTCTGCTCCTCCTCCAGCTCCCGAGCGTGCCGCTGATGAGCCTGCTGTTGCCCCTACCGCACCTTCCGAGCCAAATGTGGTGAATCCTCACCGCAACACTGGTGTGTTGGAGCAGTTGCTTACAGAGCGCCCTGCCGAGGCGCAGCGCATTGTAGCCCGGTTGCACAAGAACTTGGGGCACCCCAGCCGGGACCAGATGGTTGAACAACTTCGCGCCCGAGGTTCTTCCAATGCCCTTCTGCAAGCCGCCCATGACTATGTTTGTCCTACCTGTGCTCAGCTGGCTCCTCCCAACCAGGTTCCCAAAAGTTCGCTTCCCTCTGCCACAAAGCTCAACCAGCGCCTCATGGCTGACACCTTTTGGGTGACCTTGCCTAAAGGCCGCACGGTCCCTGTGCTTTCCATGCTTGACGCAGCCACCAAGTATGTGGTTGCACGTCCCCTCGTCAGTGAAACCTCTGAGCAGTTCCTTCGTGCCTTGGAACGTGGTTGGGTTAAGTTGTTTGGGCCCCCGCATGTGTTGCAAGTTGACGCTCATCCTTCTTGGGCTTCTGCCGCTGTGCGTGACTGGGTCACTACCCATGGGGTTGAGTTGCTCATTAGTCCCGGTGAGGCACACCAACGTTTAGCCCAGGTCGAAAGAAGGCATCAGGTTCTCAGGCGTGCCATTGACGTATTTATGGCAGACACTGGAGGCACCACAATTGACGACTTGCGTCGCGCCTTGGACTTTCTTGTACCCCAAATAAATAATACCATAAGTGTGCAAGGCTATTCGCCCACACAGTGGGTGTTGGGATACCAGCCCGACCTTCCTGGCATGCTCCTAGGCAGCAACGTTAACCCTAGTCACTTGGATGGTTCTCCCGACTTTCGTCGCAAGCTTGACCTTCAGTCTTCTGCAGCCAAAGCCATCATGTCCGCTGACAATGATGAGCGTTTGCGTCGAGCCTTGCTTCGCCAAAGCCGTGTGACTTCGTCGGTGTTCGCCGTTGGCCAGCGTGTTTACTACTACCGTGAGGGTACTGGTGTTGGCCCCCGCATCCGTTGGCGTGGCCCTGCCGTTGTTACCATGGTTGAGCAAGACAGCCGCGGACGCCAGTCCGTTGTGTGGTTAGTGCACGGTGCCCAGCTTATCCGAGCTGCCGCGGAGCACTTGCGTCGTGACTTCTCCGACTCAGAGCCTGTTGCCTCGCCCACGCAAGCCCTGGAAACCCTTCGTGGCCGCGGCACTACCTCCTTCATAGACCTGCCGAGGACCAACCGTAGGGTCCCCAGGGATGAGGCCCACGCCATGCCTAGTGATGATGAGGTTGTTGAGCCGGACCCCAAGCGTCCCCGTCCTCATGTTGCAGTGGCTCCTGAGCCGTCGCATGTGGCACCACCTTCCGTGGACTTGCCTGCGCCCGCTCCTTTGCCTAACCCTCCGACTCCTACTGTGGACTTTCGTGAAGCGCCCTTGCCGGACGACGCGTCCGATCAGTTGTCTGACGACGCCGCCGTGCCTTTGCCAGACTCCGACATGCGCCCTCAGGTTTCCGTGCCCGAGCCTGCCTTTGAGCCTGCGCCTGCTCAGCCTTCGCCTGACCTTCCACCGGCCCCCGAGCCTGTGCCTTTTGGCCCCTTTCGTGTGCCCGCGCAGGAGACATGTGCAGAACGCCGTGCCCGCATCGACCGTACAGAAACCTTGCCTTTCCACCGCCACCCTGCCGCAGACCGCTCACGGTCGCCTCCTCCCAGTGCCGAGCCGGCCCTCACAGAGCAAGCCCACTTCTGTGACGTGCTACCCCAGTCCACTCCTTTCCTGCCACCTGGCTGGACTATTGCCGGCGATGGCCAAATGCACCTTGACTCCGTGCAGGACCAGTGGGAATTTGATGGCCGTCACCTTGTGCGCCGTCACTTCGTGGCCCGGGATCGTGCCTTTGATCCTCTTTCCCCTGGGGATTGCCCAGTCCCTGTGCACATGCTTAGCAAGGTGAGGCACACCTATCGCGGCCGGCACCGCCACGATGACAGGTGGCGAGTTCATGCCCCGAAACGGGATGGTGGCCACTGGTGGACTGGAAAGACAGTCTTCAAGGTTCAGCCCAGGTATAGGCAGGAGGCCCATGACGCCTTTTACCAGGCTTCCGATGGACACAGTTCCTACGTTGGTGCTAAACGAAAGGCCGACTTGGATGAGAAGACCTTGAGTCTCAGTGACCGCCTTCTGTTCCAGGAGGCCAAGAGCAAGGAGCTTGCCAGCTTCTTCCAAAACTCGGTTTGGGATTTCGATCATGAGTCCTCCGCACCGTCCGGGCGCATCCTCAAAGCCCATGTCATCCTGAAGTGGTCCAAGAACCCCGACGGTTCTCCTCGAGCTAAAGCCCGCTTGATTACCCAAGGTTTCAAGGACCCCGATGCCCTTGGGGGTCTTGTTGACCGTACTGCTCCGACCTTGACTCGCTTGTCTCGGCACATGCTGCTGTCACTTGCCGCCAACTTGGGTTGGGGTGCCGCCACGGGCGACATCAGCACAGCCTTCCTGCAGGGCAAGGAACACTCCACCGCTCGTACCTTGTGGATTCGTCTGCCGGCTGACGCTCGCAAGATGCTTGGGATTACCGAGCCTTCTGTTGTCATGAAATTGCGGAAGCCATGTATGGGCTAGTGGATGCCCCTCGTGCTTGGTACTGTGAAGCAACCGAACGGTTGGAGCGCCTTGGCTTTGTTCGCCACGCTTTGGATCAGTGCCTTTTCTTGCTCTACGACTGGGAGACTTTGGACTCTCTTGGTCGTCCACAGCTTGTGTGTGCACTTGGGCTCTACGTGGATGACCTTTTGGCCATTGGCAACTCTGCCGACCCTCGCTACTGTTCAGCCCGGGACCGTCTGCAACAGACCTTTGCCTTCCGTGAGTGGCATGAGCGCAAGCCTTCCGTTGAGTACCTCGGTGCTGAGATCGAGCAGAGCCCCGAAGGCGTCTTGCGTTACCATCAAGCCAAGTACCTTTCCAAACTGCATCCCATCACCATACCGAACTCGAGGCTTTGCGACCCCACATCGCCTGTTACCGAAAGGGAGCGTACCCAGCTCCGTGCCTTGCTCGGTGGACTTCAGTGGGTTGCCACCCAGTCCTCGCCGCATATCCAACCTCACACTTCCATGCTTGCCGGCCTTACCACCAAGGCAACAGTTTCGACCCTGCAAGCTGCTAACAAAGCCCTGAGGTTTGCTAAGCACAATGCGGATGTTGGCTTAAGTTACCCTTACCTTGGCCCGGTGGATGAGTTGGTTGTGGTGGCTTACTCTGACGCTTCTTTCGCGTGCAGAGATGACCTGAGCAGCCAGGGTGGCTACCTCATTACTTTGTGCCACAAGGACGCATTGGAAAAGGGCAATGCTTTCACCTACCACGTGCTCGACTGGCGTTCCTTCAAGCTACCCCGTGTTGCCCGCAGTACCCTCTCTGCGGAAGGCCAGGCCGCAGCCGAAGCAGCCGATGCCCTCTACTTCACCTCCTTGTTTCTCAAAGCGTTCTTTGATCCTAAGCTGGACTTGAACTCTCCTGATGCCGCCCGTTTGCCCCACAGCTCTGCGCTTGTTGTGGACGCAAAGGCCCTCTACGACCTGCTTCACCAAGATGAGTTGCAAGCCCGTCTTGGGGCTGAGAAACGCACTGCCGTGGAAGTGCTTGTGACTAAGCAGCGCCTGGTTGAGGCCTCTGCTGTCCCCAGGTGGGTGTCTTCCGAACGGCAACTTGCCGACGGGCTTACCAAGGAGAGCGCAACGCAATTGTTCGCCGACCGTTTGCGCACCCACCAGAACCGCTTAACTGACGACCAAACGTACCAGGCTGCCCGCAAGAAGGATCCTGCCAAGAGACAAGCCTCTGCCACTGAGTTTGCCATTTCACGGCCCCAAGCACTCGCCTCTGCCATGTTTGCCTGCTGCCTCACCACTGCCCGGGCCGAGCCCATCAGCCCTCCGCCTATGAACTTTGTGGACGTTGCTTTTGTGACTTCCTGTCAGACCGCGTCCGGTCTCGTGACAGACGCCTGCCTAAACAGAGGCTACCTTCAGTGTCAGTGTGGCAATCCGGACAGCTCCCGACAAAACCCCTCTTTCGGTGAAAACCTTTTCCTTTCAGCCTCGTCGTCAAGTGCGACCGCGCAGCCTGTTGCATATCGCCGGGATTCCCTGCCAAGCAGCAACTCCCAGGTGTCGGAGGCTAGGCCGTTTCGCACTTCTCGACATGCCTTGGTTTAAGGTTTAGGGTTTGGGGTTGGGGGTGGAGTAGCTTAGGGTTTAGGGACTTGCGCCGCGACCCAGTTGCACCTCGAGCCGAGTGCTCATGTTGCCTTCCTGCAGCGTCGTGTCGGCGCACCAGCAAGTGCACAAATCGTGCCAATGGAACATCGCTGTCATTAAGACTTTTCGCGCATGTCACCCTCGCTGGCGATGTTTGGCATTGCAGCCGTGTTTGTGCCGCCTCACGCATGCTTGCAACATATGTCTGGTTCTCGCAACTCCTGGACCAAGCCGGAAGCTGGGTTCCCAGTAGGCCCCTGTAGGACCCTAGGACCTCCTGTAGGACCCTAGGACACACATAGGACCCGAGGCCCTTGTAGGACCTTAGGCCCCGTAGGACCCAGTAGGCCTGCTCTTTTGCCCTGCTCTTTCTTTCTCCGTTTTTCTCGCTGCACAGCGACCACGGGCCAGTCCTGCTTTCAAAGCCCGGAGATGGTGCAATTATTTGTACCTTCCACCGGTGTGGATTTTCTGTCCCGAAAACCTCCCCTGCACAAGCCCTGAAGCAAGGAGCTCTCGCCGTCGCTGTTGTGGCTTGGGCAGGGTGGGACAAGCTTAAGCTTTAGCTAGGCCAACCGGCTACGCAGATCCCGAGCAAGGAACGCTCGCTGACAAAAAGCTCTCTTACGTGTGCGGACCTCGTGCGCCGCCTTGCGCCCAGCTTGGCCGTAAGTTAAAGCTAAACCCTAAACCCTAAACCCGAAACACTAAACCCTAACCCTAAACCCTAAACCCTAAACCCTAAACCCGAAGGTCACGGAAGCTACCCGGGCCGCCCTATCGTCGAAGAGCATCGTGTTTTCGGACGTGACACCTCGTCTCGGCCCCAGCTGCTGATCTGGCTCGAAGAAGACGACGCCTTCGTGCAGGACTTTTAGGGTTTAGGGTGTAGGGTTTTTAGGGTTTAGGGTTTAGGGTTTAGGGTTTTTAGGGTTTAGGGTTTAGGGTTTAGGGCTCCTTGAGGCGTTTGTGTGAAACTCGTAGGAGTTTTGGCCTTTTGGGAGCTTGTTTTTTTGCCTTCAGGGTGTTTTGCAGGGTTACAAAAGCGATCAAGAGGGTTTACGCTTGGGCAGGGGGATTGTTGGGGTGGGGTTCTCTGACTACCACTTCGTGTACCCTGTGAGGCTTGGGGTTCCGGAAGGAAGGAATCTGGGAAGAAGCGAAACAAGGAAGGGGGGGCCACGGAGGAAGGGAGGGAGGGAATTGGATGGAGGGAGGGAGGGAGGGAAGGAAGGAAGGAGCCGAAGATCCACGAAAGTTTGACTATAAGGCAACATCCTTGGAGTGTTGGAGTGTGAGACTGACAGAGAACGCAGCCGAGGCCATACACCCAGAAACCCCTTCACACACAAAGCCGTCTAAAACTGCTCTGTGTGAACTACGCATACACGAACCACCAAGTCAGCATCTTCGCACCGAACGTCCGGACATACCTTTTTCACACTCCAGAAATGGTCGGATACTCCAAGGATACTCGGGCCACTCGGCGGGATTCGTTTCTCAAGAGAGGGCCGGGTAGTGCTTGCTTTACGGGCCAGCTCGAATGAGCACTCAAAAACCAAATGAACCCTAAAACTGGGGGCACATACACGACAGTTCCCGTGAAGCCACGCACCCCTTTAAGGTTCCCAGGGCAAGCCCAAGCATCTGAACCCTAAACCCTAAAACCTGCCTAAGCACCAAAACAACGCCCAATGGGAGACCCAGGGCCCCTTAAATCCTTAACCCTAAACCGCAAATAGTGTCCAGAGGACGCCCTTGTTCGGGTAGCTGCGGCCGATATCACAGAAGAATTTCGGGGATGGGCCCTCAGCGCGCGCTTTGGCTTTGGCCTGGCATGGGTTTAGGGTTGAGAGTTGAAGGTTTTAGGTTAGGGATGTGAGGTTCAGGGCTTTGAGCCTTGAGGGTTCTACCGGAAGCTTGACAAATCCCCGGGATCCTACAGCCCAGAACCCTAAGCTTGGAAACATGGGGCTATTTTGGGAACAGCTATTCTAGGATGCCCAGTAGTCCCCTTATTCCCTTTTTTGTTGGGGCTTTGGTTCCCTTATCAACCTTTGTTAAGCACAAAGGGCACCCCTCTTGCTCCTGGGTTGCTGGGCCTAGTGTTGTTAATCAGCTACCAAACGACACCCGAGGTTTAGGGTTTAGGGTTTAGGGTTTAGGGTTTAGGGTTTAGGGTTTAGGGTTTAGGGTTTCGGGTTTCGGGTTTCGGGTTTCGGGTTTCGGGTTTAGGCAAGCCCAGAAGGTTAAGCAGCAATCAGCTTCGCGAACTCAGCCAGGAAGTTCAGGGCCCTAAGCCCTCAACTCAGGTTTAGGGTTTAGGCTTTGGGGTTTAGCTTTTGGAATATTGGTTTAAGGGTTTTTTAGGTTCCAGGGCTGTCTTCAGGGTTTCTAGGGTTCGAGGTTTCCTAAACCCTAAACCCGAAACTCTAAACCCCGGTTTGGGGTTTAGGGTTTAGGGTTTAGGGTTTAGGGTTTAGGGTTTAGTAGTGCAAGCCCGAGGCTGCTGTCGGGTGCCCAGAGCCAGCTGTCGCCCAGGCCAGGACTCGCCGTGCTTTGGGGCTTCCGAAATTAGGGGTTTAGGGTTTAGGGGTTTAGGGTTTAGGGTTTAGGGTTTAGGGTTTAGGGTTTAGGGTTTAGGGTTTAGGGTTTAGGGTTTAGGGTTTAGGGTTTAGGGTTTAGGGAGAGCCTTGGTCAGGCCAGGACTCCTAGCTCGGCTAGCGCGGGACACGGACCTCGACACGATGAAGTGGCTGCGGGATTTCCCGGTCTTCGGGAGGACTTGGCAGGCTTTTTGTGTTGGGGTTTAGGGTTTAGGGTTTAGGGTTTAGGGTTTAGGGTTTAGGGTTTAGGGTTTAGGGTTTAGGGTTTAGGGTTTAGGGTTTAGGGTTTAGGGTTTAGGGTTTAGTGCTTAGGGCTTAGGGTTTAGGGTTTAGTGTTCAGGGGCTAAGTTGCAGGGTTCAACCTCTAGACCCTTCTGGCTCCACCAGCGCTGCTTCTTGAAAAGCAGCATTCGGGGCCGATGTGTGCTAAACCCTAAACCCTAAACCCTAGACCCTAAACCCTAAACCCTAAACCCTAAACCATAACCCTAAACCCTTGGGCATACCCTTCAAGAAACTTACGGGGTATGGTAAAATCCTTCCTTACATTCTCCTTTTGCAGGTTCAGGGGTATGGGTCTGGGGTATGTTGAGTTCTTCTTCGATGCTTGCGGAAGGAATCGCGACTTCCTCCTTTACTCTGCGGCCAAGCACCCGGGGCCCCACAGAAAAGCGGGCCTCAGGGCAGCCTTCAACGACCCCGTGGCCGAGCCTTGGGGACGAAATGAACCCTAAAATTGGGACCATATACCCTCTACTACTATAATCCGTATTAGGGTAATATGAACCATAAACCCTTTTAGGGTTCATTTGGTTCTCAAGGAGCGGGAGTTCATGAAGGTCTGTGTGGAGCATTGCGGCTGCGTGATCCAATTCACTGGGTGGTGCTCCGACATGGACCTGGTACACCTCGCCATGCGGAACGATGTACGGGCCTTTCGTCACGCCACAGAGCCCATACGGAACGACCCTGCCACGGCACTGTCCGCCGTGGCGCGCAATGGGATGCTTCTGGAGTTTGCCTCGCCTCGACTGCGAGCGACCAGGGCTGTCATTCAGGCAGCCGTGAGCCAGAACGTCTTTGCTTTCCAGTTCGCAAGGCTCGGGTGGAAGTCAAGGGGGTGTTCGGTGTGGGGTGAAGAGTTTGTGCTGCGCTGGTTTTGTGTAGGTCGTTACCCGCCCTAACCCTCAACGCTTGCTAGACCCTATGAACCCTTTAAAGCCCAGACCATAAACCCGAATTCGCAACGAGGCTTGAGACCCCCGAGTTGCGCGCGTTCGCAGCGACAGAGGTTCTGAAGAAGCTGGGCGTGGCAGGCAAACTGTGACCGCGGGGATTGAGGGTTTATGGGGCCCTAAACCCTCAATCCTCAACCCTAAACCCTACCAACCCTCAACCCTCAACCCTCAACCCTACCAACCCTAAACCCTAAACCCTAAACCCTAAACCCTAAACCCTAAACCCTAAACCCTAAACCCTAAACCCTAAACCCTAAACCCCAAACCAAATTGCTTGAACTCGAGACTCCAACCCTGCAGGTGAGAATGTTGCCAGCGATGTCCGGCAGCATGCGGCAGAAGCGTCCTCCGACTACATCACCTAAACCCTAAACCCTAAACCCTAAACTCTAAACCCTAAACCCTAAGCCCGACCCCCCCTTTTTTGGGGGAGCCTTTCATTGGGACCTTAATATAAAACAGCCTCCCCCCCCCCCCGCCCCCTGACAAAAGCAGCCCACAGGAACTCTAAACTCTATAGGTGCGACTGCGCGCTGACATGCAAGCTACTGCCGTTCCACCTCAAATGCCCTATCAATCCTAAACCCTAAGCCTGTATAGGAGGTTTGGGGTTTAGGGTGCTGAAGTTCGTAGACTTAGGGTTTAGGGTTATGTTTTTTCGCCCACTCCAAGGGTTTCGGGTTTTAGGGTTTGGGGTGTAGGGTTTAAGGTTTAAACGCCCCCACACGTACGTCCCAACATCTCCTCCCCCCCCCCCCCCCCCCCCCCCCCCCCCCCCCCCCCCCCCCCCCCCCCCCCCCCCACCAAAAAAAGGAAGGAATAAAATCATTTTCGGAAGCCTTGCCTAAGGTACAGGATGTGCAGAACCTGTCCTTCGCTTCTGCAAGCCTTGCAGACGCTCCTTCGTGAGGCCGATACGATGGACGCTGGCTGGCTCAGGGAGTTCTGCCTCGAAGGTGTGAAGCAACCAGACAGCATCAGGTGTGCAAGCTCCTGCTATGACTGCGATGATTGTTGTTGTTAGTCTTGGTATCATCTCATTGTCATTTGCTAACATACACGTAGTTGTTATTTACTCATTGTTGTTCGTGTTTTTAGGGGGGGTGGGCGGGGGGGGGGGCGCGGGGTGGTCGGGTGGGGGTGCGTTTCAGGGGCTGGGCCTTATAATGTTTTCGGATTTTGTGTTTAGGCCACGAGCTCTGCCAGCCTTGCCACCCACATCCCAAGGCAGGAGCCGTCTTTCTACAAGGCCCTGTCGAAGCCGGAGCAGTCAGACATGCAGATCGCCATGGCGGCCGTGCGGCTGGATCCGTGGCTTTTTCCACATGCCCTGCCCAAGAGAATCAGGCGGGGGGTGCTGCTTCTTGAAAGGTGAAGTGCCAGTCAGCTAGCTGACCCAAACCTTCTAGGCTCTATCGCCCTTGGGAATGATTTTTTGTTCTTGTTCATATAAAACCCAAGAGGATACTTTGAAATACTATTTTTTATTAAGGTTCTAAGCGGTTATAGTAGGCTCGTGCGTTGTCATGGGGCAGGTGTTGCTTCGACATTCAAGTAGCTGCCGTGGCAAAGGATGCTTGGTCCCAGATCCCCCTTGGGAATTACTCTGTTTTTTTTTTGTTTTTTTCAAAATTTTCTGCTTGTATAACACTCAAGAGGCCATTTAAATATTGTTGTTATTAAGGTTCTAAGGGGAGTAGAGTAGAGGGTCTGGCAGATTGATGGAGCTGTTGTGGTTTAGGGTTCAGGGCCTAGGCGTTCTTGCGTTGATTTTCGTCCGCGTTTGGGCATGAGGCTCTGTTGCTTCCCAGATCCCTAAACCCTAAACCACAAAACCCTTAACCTAAACCGGACATCCATCGTCTTGCGCTCGGAGTGCCGCTCATCAGAGATAGCGCTGCAGAAACCGGACATCCAAGGATGTCAACTTGAAGTACTTTGTCTTGCCGTCCGACCGTGTCATTGTAGAGAAGGCAGCTGTAGCTTGGGGCAAGGCGGGGTGACTTGCTGGTGCTTAAGGCGGTGGGGAATGAAAAAAGGGGTTCAAGGTTTAGGGTTTAGGGTTTAGGGTTTAGGGTTTAGGGTTTGGGGTTTAGGGTTTAGGGTTTAGGGTTTAGGGGATCCATTCCTTGACACCCCCTTCAGCACCAGCGAGGGCACCAGAGATGTGAGAGGGACCGAGCAGAATGGCCCTCCGTCGTGAGTTTTAGTGTACAGGGGTAGCACGTGGCAGGAGATGTGGGGTGGAAAAAGAGGTGGGTGGGATGCAGCCTAAAGCCAGCCCTGAACCCTGAACCCTGAACCCTAAACCCTAAACCCCAAACCAGGGGTAGCACGTGGCAGGCGATATGGGGTGGAAAATGAGGCGGGGTGGAAAATGAGGCGGGAGGGATGCAGCCGACAGCCTTAGCCCTAAGCCCTAAACCCTAAACCCCAAACCCTAAACCAAAAGCCCCAAACCCTAAACCCTAGACCCTAAACCCTAAACCCTAAACCCCAAACCCTAAACCCTAAACCCCAAAGCAGCTCCCTAGGTGAAAGTATTGCCTTACCTGTGCCTGGCATGGTTAGGTGCACGCGGGCTCTTCGGTCCCTAAGGCCTTCAAGGGAAAGGATGCCCACAGGGTTTAGGGTTTAGGGTTTAGGGTTTAGGGTTTAGGGTCTAGGGTTTAGGGTTTAGGGTTTAGGTTTAGGGTTTATGGCTTAGGATCTGGGGTGTCTTTAGCGTCTATATAAAATTTTTATTGTCAATCCCGTTCTACAGCCGCAAGTGAAATCCTGCTGAACCCGAAGCCCCCAACCTAAACCCTAAACCCTAAACCCTACACCCTCAACCCTAAACCCTAAACCTCAAACCGCCGCCGAGGCGGAGCAGATGCTGTCCTGCTGGCATGGAAGGAGGACATTGCGGCTCTGTACCCGGAAGCGTTCAGGGTTCAGGGTTTACGGTTAGGGTTTAGGGGTTTCGGTAAAATGTGCAAAGTTCTACGGACCCGAATTTCCATGAGGGCCCCAATACGACACATTTCAGGGTGACGAGATTTTGGGCGGTGAGGGTTGCTTTTTGGTTGGAAGCGTCTTCAATCAATGCCAACGCTTAGTCCTTAAGGATTGCAATCCTTAACCGGTGTTAGGTTTTGGGGTTTATGGTTGGACTGGAGTTGGGTTTATATGGGCTTGATAAGGTTTGGGGTTTTGGGTTTAGGGTTTCGGGTTTAGGGTTTAGAGTAGCAATATTTAGCAACTAGCTTAGTTTGTTTGTTTAGGAGTTTAGGGTTCTGTTCCCCCCTTGCATTGCGCAGCTAGGTTCTCTATAGACTCTATAGTAAGATCGGGCGGGGAGGGTGAGTGAGGCATTTTTGGCAAGCAATGGGTTGAAATAAGCACTGTATTCGTCGTCGCCCCACACCCCTACCCTAAACCTGATACATTGATAGCCTGAACCTAACGTCCGATAAGCCCACATCCTGAAACCCTATTAAGTTCACTCAGCCCTGAGCCCTAAGCCCTAAAACCTCAGACCTAAACCCTAAACCCTAAACACTAAACCCTAGCCCTAAACCCGAAACCCTAAACCCTAAACCCTAAACCCCAAGATTCTGCAACTCCTTGCGGGCGAAGCCGAACCCGGAGACGAAGCTCGGAGGGTGGAGCCGGGTGTGGCGCGCTTGCTTCGTGCAGGGGTTTAGGGTTTAGGGTTTAGGGTTTAGGGTTTAGGGTTTAGGGTTTCAGGGCAGCTTGGGGAGGTGGATTTCGGGAGGTTGTGGGCCTTCACGGAAAGGGTTTTCGGGTTGGTGTTGATAGGGAGTTCAGCGGTTCGGGGGCAAATCTCAACAAGCCTCAGGTCTTGGCATTCGCTTTCAATTGGGCTTGGCTTCCTTTCGTGATGCTGCTAAAGCTCCTAAACCCAAGCCCTAAACCCTAAACCCTAAACCCTAGACCCTGAACCCTGAACCCTTGTGCGAAGGAATGTTGTGGAGGTTAGCTCCTCTTTGCAGTCCTCGACCTTTGGAGTTGGATGGTTTGCATTGGCTTGCTGAGGGTTCCGGATGCGAGAGCATTCAGAGGGGCTGCAGTAGCGAGGAAGACCACAGCGAAGGTGAAGAAGACCGGTTTAGGGTTTAGGGTTTAGGGTTTAGGGTTTAGGGTTTAGGCTGTTCCTTCTGTGGCTGCGTCGAAAATCACAAGTGACGAGCCAAGTAGACTTAGGGTCCGGGGGTAATCATTTTCTGGCCAGGAAGCCCCAAACCCTCTAAACCCTATAAACCCGAAACCCCAAACCCCAAATCCCAAACCCTAAACCCTAAACCCTAAGCGTAGGGCTGAGTGTGGTAAGGGCTTTTGAGCCCAACACACCTCAGAGAAGCCTTGCAAGCCCCCAGAAACCCCTAAACCCTTTCTGGCCACTAAACCCTAAACCCTAAACCCTAAACCCTACACCCTAAACCCTAAACCCTAAACCCTAAACCCTAAACCCTAAACCCTAAACCCTAAACCCTAAACCCTAAACCCCTAAACCCCTAAACCCTAAACCCTAAACCCCTAAACCCCTAAACCCCTAAACCCCTAAACCCCTAAACCCCTAAACCCCTAAACCCCTAAACCCCTAAACCCCTAAACCCCTAAACCCCTAAACCCCTAAACCCCTAAACCTAAACCGCCTAAACCCTATAAAATGTCTGGCCAGGGACAAGCTCCTCATGACGAAGTGCAGCTCAGAACTGCGCGGCCGCATTTTGGACCCAGAGGGGCGGCCTCTGGATGGTCTGGGCCCAAGGCCGCTATGGTTTTAGGGTTTAGGGTTTAGGGTTTTAGAGTTTTTGAGTTTAGGGTTTAGGGTTTTGTGGCGCCCCTAACGGTCCCAGGCCCTGAGCAGTAGCCGAGCAAGCAACCTTTCGCCGTTTGCGGGATCCCTACATGAGCGGTTCTCTCAGTTTAGGGTTCAGGGCTCCTTCCTAACCAAATGTCCAACTCCGTATTCTGAGAACCACCCGAAAAGGGAGCATCGGAGCTTCTTGCCATTGTAGGAAGGGTCCAGGGTGTCGGGTTCATGCTTGAGGGACGTTTGGGGGTTCATCTGTTTGGAGTTTAGGGTCCTAAGCCCTAAACCCTAAAACCTAAAGCCTAAAGCCTAAAGCCTAAACCCTAAACCCTAAACCCTAAACCCTTAACCCTTAAACCCTAAACCCTTAACCCTAAACCCTAAACCCTAAACCCTAACCCTAAACCCTAAACCCTAAACCCGGGTTTTGGGTGTACATCCCTCATGGCCCGCTGAGGTCTGCCCATGCCGGAACAACTCGAGCAACGGCCCATCTTCCAGAAGGAGAAGCCGAAGGAGGTGAGTTTAGGGTTAGGGTTCGGGTTTGGTGTTTGGTGTTTAGGGTTTAGGGTTTAGGGTTTAGGGTTTAGGGTTACGTCGAAGGTGGGTTGAGGTTTCGGCAAGAACTCGGCCCCTAAACTACCCTAAACCCTGCAAGGCCCGGCGTCCTGCAGGAATCTCTTCAGTTGAGGGTTGAGGCTTCAACGGAAACCCTTTGTTGCTTTGGGGCCATGGCTTGCTAGAGGGTTTAGGCATTATAGGCTTGAGGCTTCAGGGCTAAGGGTTCAACAGGACGCTAGATGCTTGGAACACATTTTCTGGAATTCCCTTGATCTTGAATCTTTGGGCATTAGGTACCCTATGTTGTCACAAAGGGTGCGGGAGGGAATGTATGGCACCGAATTCCCAGCTAAGAACCCTGATACTCCCCCCCAGCCTCTCCACACACGTGGTTTTGGACTTTCAGGCTAGGACCCTTTAGAGTCTCGGCTTAGGAGTGTTGGCTGGTTTAGGGTTGTCAGAGCACTCAAACACGCATGCGCCCAAACCCCAAACACCAAACCCCAAACCCCAAACCCTAAACCCCAAACCAAAAAAACCCTAAACCCTAAACCAAAAAACCCTAGACCCTAAACCCGCTGCTTTTTCGGCTTGAGCTGCTGAAGCCTCGCGCATCCGGAGTCGTTCGCAACATCGGCCGTTCGGCCAGGCGAGACGGCCTATTCCCTAAACCCTAAACCCTAAACCCTAAGCCCTAAACCCTAAAGCCTAAGCCCTAAACCGGGGTTTATAGGGTTTAGATTGAGGGCTTGGGGTTGAAGGTTTCGGGCCACGCAGAGAGGTTTATGGAGTTGGGTTGAGGGTTGTTTTTTTTGGATTAACGTTTAGGGTCTAGGGTTTTGGGTTCAGGGTGCTCGGTTGGTGGTAGGAGCTGTCTTTCAAGGGAATCATGTTCCAGACGGTGCCTGGGATGCTGGATCTCAGGTTGGAAATTCAAAGCTCGAAGAAATGAGCAAAACTGGCTCTAGTTTCAACACAGTAGCTGCTTGCACGGAAACCCCTAAGACCCAAACTCTAAGCATTAAACTTCAGACCTTCAACCTAAACCCCAAACCTCAAACCCTGAACCCTAGCCTCACAGTCCTCCCCATGTCCTGCGAGGCTTTTCGGGTGCAGACTTTGTAGTTGAGAGTCATGCATAAGCCTGCTGCTTGTGGGTGTCATGCTCCTGATTCTTCAGGCTAGTGTTTGCGTTTGAGATTTGCAGGGTTCTTGTGGTTGGAGGTGCAGGCTTTTGTTTCGTTGTGGTTTTTAGGTTTTTTCGGCTCGGTAGGCTTTAGGGTTCAGGGCGTTGTGCACGATGCCTTGTGCACACACACACACACAAAAAAAAAAGGGTTCAGGGTTTAGGGTTTAGGGTTTACAGAGGCAAAATCCATAGGCTGGCCGAAGGAGGCTTCCTGACAGGGAATTTCCTGATGGCCCTGAAGCTCAGAACTAGTCCGGGAGAAGCCCAAAAAAGCACAGAAATGGTCCGGGAGCAGCCGAAGGGCCCGGAGAAGCCCAAAAAGGTTCACGTTTACCGGGGGGTAGGGATTAGGAAGAACTTACCCTAAACCCCCTGGAGTTTATAGGGTTGATAGCCATGACGAGCAGCCTTGGTGCTACCTTTGCTTGGAGGTTGAACCCTAAACCTTAAACCCTAAACCCTAAACCCTAAACCCTAACCCTAAACCCTAAACCCTAAACCCTAAACCCACATTTATAGGGTTGAGGATTGAGGACTCCAGGGTCCATCCTATGACCGGAAGGTACTCTTTGACAACATGGCGGAGCAGTCCCTCAGCAGCAAGAAAAGCCTCAACCCTCAACCCTCAACCCTCAGCCCTAAGCCCTAACCCTAAACCCTAAGCCCTAAGCCCTAAACCCTAAACCCTAAACTTCCAAGAGCCCGCTTACCCCCCCAAAATGCTTGAGGCTCCCAGTGAGTCGAGGGGTTTATTGCTTTAAGCCTTGGGGATTTTCGGGTCTTGGGGTTTGGAGGTTTTGGAGTTTTTTAGAGTTTGTTTTTGTTGTCGTTTTCTGGTGTTTGGAGTTTTAGACCCTAAGCCCTAAACCCTAAACCCTAAACCCTTTTGGGGGTTTGAGGGCTTGGTACGGCTTTGTCTCCAGGGTTTGGGAAGCCACCATCCTGTGCGAGAATCGATACCGGAAAGAGACCACCCGTTTAGGGTTTAGGGTTTAGGGCTAGGCGCGATAAACCTGCTCAAGGCGAAATTTGCAGCCTAGAAAACTCCTTAAACCCTAAACCCTAAACCCTTACCCCTAAACCCCAAACCCTAAACCCTAAACCCTAAACCTAAAACTCAGCCAGTAAGAGCTCCAGGTTTGAACTGCGCACACCTGGAGAGCTTAGATACTCGGGACAGACGGTTGGTGACCATCTGGGCTTCGGGTTTGTTTAGGGTTTAGGGTTTAGGGTTTAGGGTTTAGGGTTTAGGGTTTAGGGTTTAGGGTTTAGGGTTTAGGGTTTAGGGTTTAGGGATTTTTGTTACAGGGCCACAATACTCGGGGTTCTTATGAGGGCATCTAGGGGGCGAGATTAAGGTATAAGGGGAATTGATAAAGAGGCCACCACGGCCTTTGCAACCCATACCATGAAAAACCTGAAGACTCCTCCAACAGGAGCAAGCCGGCCCCCTCCATCTCGGAAATCATGACAAAGGCCTCTAAGAAGGCTGGAGGGCTCAGGGTGTAAGGTTTATAGGGTTTAGGGTTTAGGGTTTTGGGGTTTGGGGTTTAGGGTTACATGTCAGTGAGCGTGCTCGATGGCCCCAAAGCCAAAAAGCCTGCGTTCTTCTGTCTCTCCACCCCCACCCCCTGGCCCCGCCCCCCAAGGGTCCCAAGCCCTTCAACCCGTGCGTGCACTGCCATGAACAGCGTCGTTGGGATTCCTAACAGGGCGCAGCCTCAGGCACAGGTTCTGTCTGTTTCTTCGTGCTTCTTCCCCCCAGACCCGAAACCTAAGCCCGAAAACCTAAACATGAGACCTTTAGCCCTATACCCGAAGCCTTCAACCCTAAACAACCCGACACAGTTTCAGGGTTTCAGGGTTGGGGTGCAGGGTTTTGGTTCAGGGCTTAGGGTTTTGGGTTAGGGTTTAGGGTTAGGGTTTAGGGTTTATGGTGGTAGGATCTTCGGCCCTGGCAGGCTTTGAGCGGTGGCCTCGCCGGTATGGGCGCGCAGGCGATCAACGTGCGCACCTCAAGCTTTTGCGTTTGGGGTTTAGGGTTTAGGGTTTAAGGTTTCGGGTTTAGGGTTTAGGGTTTAGGATTCGGGTGGGGGAGGGGGGGAGGGGTATAAACCCTAAATACAAGGTCCTTTGGGAGTTGCGACACGTACAGGTGTCCCCCTGAAGCCACAGAAGCCATCAAACCCCCCAAGCCCGACCTTCCCTGGCTGCCCCCAAGCCCTAAACCCTAAACCCTAAACCCTAAACCCTAAACCCTAAACCCTAAACCCTAAACCTAAACCCTAAACCCTTTTCTCAGGTGCTGGCCCTGATGTGGATGCGAACTATCATGAACTACCAGTACCGCTACGGCCCGGTTCTCGTGCAGGGTTTATACTACTGTTATTGGTGAGTGTTTAGGGTTTAGGGTTTAGGGTTTAGGGCTTAGGGCTTGGGGTATTGGTGCGTGTCGATTAAAATTCGTGTCCTATTGGGGATGCGAGCAATATACACCCTACTTCATTGAGATCGGCTGCGTGGCAGGGGGGGTAGTTTCGGGCGCAGGCCACGCCCCTAAACCCTACGACAGCCTAGCCCGAAACCTTGCTTGCACCCCAAACCTAAAGACACGACTGAACTCTGAGCCCCACAGACCACTAGCACCCCGGACGCCCGAGAACCGCAAGCCCTCTAAGCCCGAAGCACTACCATGCTCCTTTGGCGAGGGACGGTCGGGTTCTGGAGATGATTAGGTGGCCCCAAACACTGAAGAAACCCTTATGCTGGTGGTTTGGGGACTAGGGTTTAGGGTTTAGGGTTTAGGGTTCAGGGTTTGTGGTTTTCAGGTTTCTCGGCTTCAGTTGCAGAACTTTATGAGCTTTTTCAGGTTTAGGGGGTGTTTGGACGTAGAGGTTCGAGTGGCGCGAGTTGCGGCATTCGCGGAACAGCAGCGCCCTTTTCGCACATGAGCCTGCGTACCTTCTGCCCTTGTGACACTTACATACAAAACCACCTAACATGCCTACAGCCACCCTAACCCTGGGGCTTAGGGAAGTTTAGGGTTTAGGGTGTCGGGTTCAGGCTGCGAAAAATGAGAGTGAGAGAGAGAGAGAGAGAGAGAGAGAGAGAGAGAGAGACAGAGAGATAAGCAACACGGAGGAGGGCAGGGTCTGAGGGCAACCACACAGGTGAAGGAAAGAGACACCTGCTTTTTCTTGGCGCCTCACCAGCTCCTTCAAGGATGGCCCCCGTAAACAGGGGCGGGAAGGATGCCCAGGGGAAAACCTTGCCCCTTGCCCCACGAAAAGAAAGAACACAAACAAAAACATAAAGAAAGAAAGAAAGAAATAACGACAGGAACAAAGACAGAACGCAATAAAGAAGGAAAGAAATAAATAAAGAAATATGGAAAGAAGAAGACAAAGGATGATGACAGAACTACATAAAGTCAGAAAGACAGAAAGACAAAACAAAAGCACAAACGAACATGCGGAAAAAAATGAATACTGAGACTGGGATGAAAGACAGAGATGTGACTATCGGCTATCAGTCATCCTCCCGCCCATAAACCCTTCACCCTAACCCTAAAGCCTAAACCCCAAGACCCTAAACCCTGAACCAAAAACCTGAACCCTAAAACACTAAACCCTAAACCCTAAATCCCTAAAACTTAAACCTCTAAACCCAAAAACCCTGAACCTCACAGCTTGTGAAGTCAATTTGCAGGTGGCACCTTTACGAGCGCCCGATGCCCAGACTGCTCGTTGTGCATTTTTTTGGGGGGTTTAGGGTGTTGGGTGTAGGGTTTAGGGTTTAGGGTTTAGGGCTTAGCACGGAGAAGGCCTACACAGGTACGGAAGAGGCCGGAAGCCCCTTCACACCCTAAACCCCCCACAGCTCTTGACCCTTAAACTCCAAGCCCTCAACCAGCAACGACCAAAACGCCCCGTAAACCCTGAACCCCTGACCTCTATAAGCCCCAACCCCATGGGGTTTAGGGTTTAGGGTTTAGGGTTTAGAGTTTAGGGTTTAGGGTTTAGGGTTTAGGGTTTAGGGTTTAGGCCAACAGTAAGCCCTGTCAACCCTCTGAGTCCTGAAAGCCCCAAACCCAGACCCTGAGCCCCAAACCCTGCAAACCACACAACCCTATGAACCTTGTACCCCAAAACCCTGCAAGCCCCGTAAACCCGAAACCTTATATCCCTTTTTTCCAAGCCCTAAACCCTAGCCCTAAACCCTAAACCCTAAACCCTAAACCCTAAACCCAAGGTGGCCCAGAAGCTGTATGCGGAAGGAGGCATTCCGCGGTTCTACCGCGGCTTAGCCCCTGGCCTCATCCAGGCGCATCCCCTTTAAGGGATAGGGGGCTTTAGGGTTTAGGGTTTAGGGTCATCGTTTAGGGCCCGGGTTTGGGGTTTAGGGTTTAGGGCTAGGGTTTAGGGTTTAGGGTTTAGGGTTTAGGGTTTAGGGTTTAGGGTTTAGGGTTTAGGGTTTAGGGTTTGGGGTTTAGGGTTTAGGGTTAGGGTTTTGGGTTTAGGGTTTAGGGTTCAGGGTTCAGGGTTTAGGGTTTAGGGTTTGGTTTTCGGATTTACAGGGTTTGCAGGGTTGTACAGGCTTTACACCCTAACCCCTCATCCGGCGGCTTCACAGCTTTAAGCGGCAAGGGCTGCAGGGCTTTGGGCGTCATCCGCGTCAAGCCCCAGTTGAGCGGTTGAGGGTTAGCACCCCTAAGCCCTAAGCCCTAAGCCCTAAACCCTAAACCCTAAACCCTAAACCCTAAACCCTAAACCCTAAACCCTAAACCCTAAACCCTAAACCCTAAACCCTAAACCCTAAACCCTAACCCTAAACCCTAAACCTGAACCCAGATCCTGCACGGTGCAAGGCGCCAGTCTCTCGATTCGGTGACACCGCGGCGAACGACGGAGCCCTGGCAGCTCTGGAGCACACATCGTTGCCAACGGCTGCTGGGAGCCCTGGGAAAACTGCGGGGGGTTGAGGCTTTGGGGTTTAGGGTTTCGGGTTTCGGGTTTAGGGTTAAGGATGCAGGGTTTAGGAATTAGGGTTTGGCCGTAGGGTTCGTGGTGTAGGGTTTCGGGTTGGGGAATTAGGGTCTAGGGCTTTAGCAGTTGAGAGGTAGGGCTGAAAAGAGTTGAGGCGACACATACTGACCGCAAAACATCCTCGATGAGCCCCTACCTTTAGGTCTAGTACCCTAAACCCTCAACCCTCAACTCCTCAAAACTCCCGAAGACTAGACCCCCCCAAAACCCCCAAAAAATACCCCGAAACAACTCCCTGTGATCCCTAGCTTCCGAGGCTAAGACCATGGCAGCATCGGCCTGTGCCGCAGGTCCCCTGTGGGTCTATTGCATTCGACTTTGCCATAGTGGGGTAACACTTTCCAGTTCGAAGGGTGCTTAAGCTCAATAAGGAAGAGGAATCTACATGTTTAATACTACCCCAACCATGAACGAGTAGAGCGGACAGGAAGTTAGGTTTAGAGGTCAGGGCTTTAAGGGGGCTTTTCGTGCGGATGTCATCCCTATAAACCTCAAACCCTTAAACCCTTACGCCCTGAAGCCCAAAACACACCCTGAACTCCCACCCTCCCCCCCCCCTACTCCAAGCAAGAGCTTAAACCCCAAAGCCCTAAACCCCCCACATAAACCCTCATAGCCTAAAGTCCTAAACCCTCAAGTTCGAATCCCAGCTCCGCTACTCCCCTGAAGTCGGCACCTCTCAAGCGCCCTGCAGACCGGGATTTTGAGGTTTAGGGATTAGGGTTTAGGGTTAGGGGTTTAGGGGTTTAGGGGTTTAGGGGTTTAGGGGTTTAGGGGTTTAGGGGTTTAGGGGTTTAGGGGTTTGGGGGTTTGGGGGTTCGGGGGTTCAGGGGTTTAGGGGTTTAGGGGTTTAGAGGTTCAGGGGCTTCGGGGTTAGGGGTTTAGGGTTTAGGTCCCAACAGTGAGGTGCATATGCCAGAGCTTCCCTCAAGGAGACTGGATCTAGGACCACTTCCGGTGAACGGCTCCCCTTCAGACAACCCTTATATACAACCAGGGTTTAGGGTTTAGGGTTAGCGTTTAGGGGAAGCCGCATGTTCCTAAATGCAGATTTTCAGGGTTTTCTAGGGTTTGCGAGCTTTGTAGAGCCTAAAACGGCTGCCGGGAATCCCATGCCATGCTCTAGGTTCAAGCCCCCCAAACCCTACACTCTGAACCCTAAACCCTAAACCCTAAACCCTAAACCCTAAACCCTAAACCCTAAACCCTAAACCCTAAACCCTAAACCCTAAACCCTAAACCCTAAACCCTAAACCCTAAACCCTAAACCCTAAGCTTGAGCGACCGTACCATGGCCTTGTCCGCGGCCCTCCTCTCCGATGAGCTGCGGCGGGCTGTGGCGCTGCCCAGGCGTGCGGCACTCCAGAACAGAGGCGGGTGCGGTTTAGGGTTTAGGGTTTAGTGTTTATAGGGCTTAGAGTTTAGGGTTTAGGGTTTGGGGTCTAGGGGTCTGGGGGTCTAGGGGTCCAGGGGTCCAGGGGTCCAAGGGTCCCAGGGGTCTTTGGGGGTTTCGGGGTTGCAAGGTTGTTGTTTGTGGCTTGGGGCTTTTTAAGGTACAAGGTCAGGGTGCAGGGTTTGTTTGGGGGTTGCACTTGTAGGCCTAGCGCTATGTTGGCATTGGATGCTAACCCTACACTGTAACAACCGCCCTCATCTGCTGAAGAAGTGGAAGCCCTAAACCCTGAGCCCTAAACCCTAAACCCTAAACCCTGAGCCCTAAACCCTAAACCCTAAACCCTAAACCCTAAACCCTAAACCCTCAGCTTCCCAAGAAGTGAAGACCTCAGAAAAGGCGCCCCGCCTCCCCGTCATGTGGCCGTCGTGGGCGCCGGAGCCGCCGGTTTAGCTACAGGCGGGGCCATTTAGGGGTTTCGGGATTCAAGGTTTTATAGGGTTTAGGGTTTAGGGTTTAGGGATTTTTTGGTTCAGGGTTTTGGGGTTTCGGGTTTTAGGGCCTTAGGGTTTTGGGATGTAGGGTTTCTGGGTTTATAGGGTGCTTGGGGCGCGGGGACCTAAAGCCTTAGACCTAGGGTTTAGGGTCTAGGGTTTAGGGGTCTGTGTAGTTCTCTAAACGCGAACCCTCAAACCCCAAACAACAAGAAAGCTCGCCAGCCCTGGGCCTTTCCCGGCGCGGCATCGCCGTGACACTTCTGGAGGACCAGGGTTTAGGGTTTAGGGCTTGAGGGTTTTAGGATTTTACGGTTTTAGGGTTTATTTTGTTTTTAAGGGGTTTTGGGTTTTAGGGGTTTAGGTCTAGGGGTCTTGGGGGTTTAGGCGTTTAGGGGTTTAGATGTTTAGGGGTTTAGGGCTTAAGCTAGGGTTCATGTTCTTAGGTTTTCGGATTGCAGAAGGTCCTCTTCCCTACCCAAATCGCAAGCACACAGCAAAAAGAATCCTCAACCCCGCAAGTCCAGAAACAAAGCTTTGAACCCTACTACACCTTCTAGGGTCCTTAAGGGAGGCAGGGTCCTCTAATACTCCTCACTCCTGGCCTTAGCTTCCCTCTACTTCCATGAACCCCTTCCTTAAGAACCCCATGAAGGAACGCCAACTCTCAAGCCCCCACCAAAATCCTGCGCTGCTAAAATCCAGAAGCCCAAATCGCCCGACACCTTAATTAAGCCCTGCATCCTCAACCCAATGAACCCTAAACTAAACCCTAAACCCCTAAACCCCTAAACCCCTAAAACCCTAAACCCTAAACCCTAAACCCTAAACCCTAAACCCTAAACCCTAAACCCTAAACCCTAAACCCATCCTGCTCCAAGCCGCCAGGCCGGACAGACAGTGGGCGGCCGCGTCCGCACTACCGAAGTCCTGGGCCGGCCCTACGACACTGGGATCGCAGGGTGGTGTCCCTTTTGTTCAACCCTGTTAGCTAGGGTTTGGGGTTTAGGGTTTCGGGTTTGGGGTTTCGGGGTTTAGGGTTTAGGGGTTTAGGGGTTTAGGGGTTTAGGGGTTTAGGGGTTTAGGGGTTTAGGGGTTTAGGGGTTTAGGGGTTTAGGGGTTTAGGGTTTAGGGTTCGTGCGACAAAAGTTTTGGTGTTTGGGGGCTTTGGGGTTTGGAGTGCAGGGTCCATCCCGTTGACCGACTTTTTGACCCGTTGTTCAGATTGGAATCAGGGGGTCTTGTCAAACCCATTGGGAGATACTGACTCCGTAAACCCTAAACCCGAAACCCTAAACCCTAAACCCTAAACCCTAAACCCTAAACCCTAAACCCACCAACGCCGGCAAACGTAGGATTTGGGGGCCACCTGGGCACACGGCCGCTCTGCCAAGGAGAGGCTGAAACGTTTGTTTAGGGTTTACCTGGTGATGCAAACGACGGTTTAAAACTAGTATGCCGAAATGTACGTAAATTTCGAAGAGACGCAAAAATTAGTGGTATCTCGAGATACGGGAAATGTCCCACAGCCAAAGTGTCACTACATAAATTTCGTATGCCATATGACTAGGAATTTTTCGTATATATAAGTATATACATATATATGTGTATCTCTCTGCATATATATATGTATATACATATATACACAAACCCTATATAGACCCAGGAGAAGCTTGGGGGCTTCTACGGGTTTCCTCGCTCTAGCGAGGGGGCTCTTGAGAGCTCTGAGGTTTGGGTTTCCAGGGTGTAGGAGGGTTTAGTCTACTTCTGGGGGATGCAAGGGTTCAGAGTTGCAGGCTTCTTTTAAGAGGAGCTTGGGGGCTTCTACAGGTTTCCTCACTCTAGCGAGGGGGCTCTTGAGAGCTCTGGGGTTTGGGCTCGGGGGTCGACAGGTCGAGGGCTTCCAGGGGTTACGAGGGTTGTTTTTAGGGGATGCTAGGTAGGAGCCTCTCTGAACTTTTGGCGCTGTGCCCCACGTTGGCTCAATGCCCGTGCCGTGCTTGGAGGTCCATGGTACTTAGTAACCTGTTCGAATTGTACTTATAACCCAATGTCGTACCTTTTGGGGGTGGTATGCGAGAATCCCCTGTCACTAATCCAGAAAGGAACCAGATACTTGGAGGTTCAGGGTAAGCTCCATGCATAATCAATTTAAGCAGCGACACAAGCAAAACTGAGACAGGTAGCGAAAAAAACAGTCTCACTCAGGAAAAAACAGTCAGACTGAAAAAAACATTTAAAAAAACAGCCCAAGTACGGTGCCATGTTGACTTTCGGGTTCGGGTTTTTGCCGACATCATGGTGACATATTACGGGGGCTGTTCGGGGGACGGCTTTTCGGGGTCGACATTTTTCACCAAATGTCTACCCCGCATCCTCAAAAATCCAGTCTTTTGAGGGGTGGGGGGGGGCCTGCATGAGGGGGGCGTGTCGGGGGGGGGGGGCGGGGGGCAGTGGTGGGGGGGGTGGGGGGGCTGTGGGGCTGCGGGGCTGGGGCTGCGGCGCTGCAGAGCTTCGGGGCTGCGGGGCTGCGGGGCTGCGGGGCTGCGGGGCTGCGGGGCTGCGGGGCTGCGGGGCTGTGGGGCGGGGCTGCAGGGCTGCGGGGCTGGGCTGCGGGGCTGCGGGGCTGGGAAGGGTTTGGGGGGGTTGGGTGGTGGGGTTGGGGGGGAATCGATTCTAGAAAGGAAAATCGTTTTCAGGGGGGGGCGGGTGGCGGAGTGTTAGTTGGGGGGGGGGCTGTCCTGGGACCCTCTGCGACCCTCCAGCATGTGACAACCCCTTCAGCAAAACATATCAAAACGAAACCAAATCAGGTTGTTAGGTTGCTCGAAAGCGAGTGTTAGCTAGCAGAAGTAGCAGTAGTAGTAGCAGTAGCAGTAGCAGTAGCAGTAGCAGTAGCAGTAGCAGTAGCAGTAGCAGTAGCAGTAGCAGTAGCAGTAGCAGTAGCAGTAGCTTCAATACAGGGCTTTAGGGCTCTGGGCCTTAGGGTTTATATATACAGGGTTGTATGGTGTTCAGGGCATTTGGGGGGTTTTGGGGGATTTGGGGGGGGTTCCTGGCCCAATAAAATCCTTCCTTGTGACATCGATCCACGGAATTTCCTTACGTTCAGGTGATACGTCTTTCTGGTGCCGAATTTCGGTCCGTTCAGGAGAATCCAGTACTTTACGTCTTTTTGTCCCTGATTTCGCCTTTACGGGAAAAAAACCAACCTTCGGACCTACAGGTAGGGTTTAGGGTTTAGGATTTAGGGTTTAGGGTTTAGGGTTTAGGGTTTAGGGTCAGGCACACGCAGCTCGAGGGTCAAAAGGTTGATCAGATTCAGGGTTTTGAGGGTTTGTAGGGTTTAGGGGCTTATAGGACTTGTAGGGCTTGTAGGGTGTGTAGGACTGATTTAGGATTT